CCATCCATCCATCCATCCATCCATCCATCCATCCATCCATCCATCCATCCATCCATCCATCCTTCCATTAATCCATCCATCCACAGTTGAGTTATCTAAAAAATACTTTGTCATAACATGGTAATCCAACCTCTGTGTGCTGCTGTGAATTTACCATTGTATATAGTACTAAAACAATTAAATTCACTTTAAATAGACGGCTTATTACATTTGATCGTGGAAAACTGTGCTTGAAAATGCTGCAGACTCAGGCATGAGTGTGAAGCACCAGCAGGTGCTGCATCATGACACGTCAACACCGTGCGAACATCCAAGTCTGTTTCTGTGCTCCTGATGGTCGTCTTTGTCATATTAATGAGTTGTTTCCTTATTTCCTAAAAAGGTTTACTCCCACTAAAGAGTTAATAAAGTGATGCACTAGTAATAGACTAAAAAGCTCAACAATGTCACTTATAAAATAAACGTTACTTTTAAAACATCTGACGTTTGACACAAATTATTAATCATAATATATACTTAAACAAAGTAACCAAATAATAATATACTCTATCAAACTAAAATAAGTTGGGGAAAAAAAAAACTATTGATTTTACTAAATAATCAGCAAGGTTTTATAAATAGATGCACAAACCCGAACCCATATAACAAACAAATAGCGACCGGAAATTTTAAACCTCAAGATTTTTGCAAGATATAATGAAATAAGATTAAATTAATTCTATGCCAAACACATTTTGAACTTTATAAGTAATAATTATTTGAAATCAGCTTACCTTGTTATGTTGCTGTGGTGAAGGTGTATATTGGAACATACATCTTCACCACAGCAGCTATCAGCGACTTTTAAAAATATTTGTTAAAATATTTAATATCTTTCCTTCTTTGTCATTCCTTAACATACTGGTAGAAGGTCTTTACTTTTTTTTTCTAGTCGTTAATTCTTGGAAACTGTTTTCTCATGACAACTAATTAAAAGCTATGAAATTTACCAAGTAGTCAAGCTGTGTATTCCTTCTGTCATCAGTTCAATATTTCAGCTTTTGTCCATGAACCAGTTTGATTTAATCAGAACTTAGAGAATAGAATAGAATAAAATGGAATAGAATTGTACATTGAAACCTATTTAAAAATGAGAAAAATGTAAATTTTCATGACATCGGTTTGTTTATGTGGAAAAACAATTGTCTTTCACAAATACACTGACCACACACAGCAATAATAAATTATATGCAGCCAGGGTTGTATAGATAAGGCACTGCTGTGCCTAGAGGCCATTAATTCAAAAATCATATTTAATGCAGCCTTCAACAACTAATGTGATGGCATTGTAGTTGTTTTTCTTTTTGTGGTCTAATAAAATTGTATAAAAAAAATAAATTATCACCTTAAAATGAAAAAAAAAATAACAGTACATATTTAGAAAATAACATTGGCAAATACAAACACTTAAGAAGATAAAAGATAACAAACCAACTTCATTGTGCATGTAAATTATATTGGCAGCCATATGCTCAATAAAAAGCTGTTATTGGTAAAAAATACATTTAATGCTGTTTAGAAAGATTGAACATTAACATTTGGGGTCAACATAAAAAATGACTCGAGATGAGGTTGAGCAAAGTGTCAGCTCAGCCATATTCAACAAATCAGAGTATTATTGAAATGTTCATTCATTTACAAATCTTTGTCTACAAAGGGCAATATTTTATATAAATGATTAGAAATACTAATGTTTTACTGATAAAAAAAAAAAGACAATTAAACTAATGGTCAACTAATTTAATAGTATAATAATCATTAACTGAAGTATGCAGTGTGACCCGCTTGGGATAAGCGTGACAGAAAATGGATGGATGGATGAAGTATGCAGACTCTAAGACATGCCATTTTCTGAAAGAACAACCCAGAGCAGCAATTACTGTAAGCCAAAATAGCACAAAAAAATTAAGCATTTAAGATGCAGCCTAATTTTTAATTTCCAAGAAGAAAGCTTGTATGATATACACAAGGGCACTGGGGTTTTATTTGTTTGTTTCTTACTGAGGATGCCTACTTTTTGAAGGATAATAGGTGAAAGTTTATTAAACTGTCAAGGTAGATAAGCCAGTGTGTTAGTTTCTGTAGTTTAGGCAAAGAGAAAGAATCACTGCTGTGAGGTTTATGGTTGGAAGAGCGGCGATTATTAGCCATTATTATACTTGATTTTACAGAAATAAGTCAAAGCACAGTTCATCACAGTTGCAGTTTCTGTTGAACTTTTTGATATTTTGTTACATAACACATAAAAGATTGTATTGCTTGATTTTAAGCGGTGGGCCATTGTGGTAGAGCATCACTGTAAAATGGAGGAGAAATAATGGAGACAGTGTTTTTTTTTTAACTACTTCAAATCAAACTAAGAAAAGTGTTGCATGCTTTGGTATTCACCTATTGCCTGAATAAATCATCAGTTCAACCACCCTTTGCTTATTTATTTATGTCTTATCAGCTTTGGATAAGAAGAGATAAAGATTATCGTCCGTTCTCATTTGTACAAAGTCATCAATTACCAATCAAACATCAAACAAAGTGTTGCTTCAGATCCACCAACATCATAGAGGACCCTTTGTTATTTTCAAAATGCAACTGATTGCACTATGAAATAACAGCATTATTTGCCTTAAACTCCTTTCAAAGACACGAGTAAAATGTTTTTTTTTTTACACCTTTAACCTAAAGCTTATTCTTTGTATACAATGTAATTACCATCTAATTTTTTTCAACCATCAATCAGTTGCTCTTACATAGTTCTAACACCCGGTTGTTTGGTGTTGTCAGAAAGATTTAATACAAAGCATAAATGTAACCTGTGTCTTGCTGAAACAATAGAGTAATTTGACATTTATTGAGTAATTCCCTACTTGCTTTGTGTTAAATCTGCTCAATCACAGATTTGGAGAAGTTATTTGATGGATTAGAGCTGATTATGAATATAAGGAAAGCATTGTTTTCTGATTCAAACCCATTTGTACACAATCCCTGAAGATGTAGAATGTGGTAAAGGAGGAAACACAGTTTGTGATTCTTTCTACAGTTAGATACAAGAGAATGAGATAATCCACAGTTGTAATTAATCATCAGTCAATACATAATGTTTAAATACATGCAATCAAATCACACACAATGAAATATTTTTTTTTCACTTCTAATAGTAGATTTTATCATCAGCATAGATTAACCTAGCATGCCTTTGAAAATGTATTTTCCATTCAACTCATTTCCCTAATAGCCCATTTCATTGCTCTGTGTCTCTCAGTACCAGGTCGGCCAACTATACTCGGTGGCAGAAGCCAGCAAGAATGAGACAGGCGGAGGCGAAGGGGTCGAAGTTTTAAAAAATGAACCCTATGAGAAGGATGGAGAGAAGGGGCAGTACACACACAAAATTTACCATTTGCAGAGGTAAGCATTTTTACAGGAGGGAGGCCAGAAAATGTACAGGAAGGAAAGGCGAGGGCTTTCTCATTTCCTCTATTTAGACCCCTCTCTTTCTATTTAGTCGTTTATGCCTTTTCACATTTATAGTTATCTGTAATTCAAGTCCTGGTTATGGTTCTTTGGACCAATCAGGGTACCTAGAATTTGGTCTTTAATTGGCTCTAATTAAAGTGTTTTTAAATACTGAATTTATTATTTTTTTTGCACTTATTTAGATTATAGAAATAAAAAAACATTAATTGTTGTGTATGAGTGTTTGAGTGTCTGTAAAAATAAAAATTTTGATGAGACATTTAAAGAAAAATAGACCAATAAATATCCAATCAGATCTGTTTGCCCCTTTTCCCAGGACGCTATTTTTGTCTCTGCTTCCTGCAGCTTGTTTCTTTCCTCTGCTTTGTATGATTAAAGGTTTTGCAATAAAAAATCATTTGAATGTAGCTCTTGCTTTATTATTAATAAGTTCAAGTCAATTTTATTTATATAGTCAGTGTCATATTATAAGCATAGGACCAATTGAATTGGTAACCAGTGAAGAGATTTTAGAGACATCAGTGATGCGTTCGACCCTGCTGGTCTGCTCCAGGTTACCTGTTAATGGAAGGATGTTGTCATCCTCGAGGTGGAGGTGGTATGGTCAGCATTATAATGTAAGTTTTCATCCATCCTGCATTTCTGGTGACCAGAGCACTATCTTCCATGGTAGTCGGACTAGGTAGTAGGAATTCTTCCTGTTAAAAGGGAGTTTTTCTTCTCCTCTGTCTCTACAAGCATGCTTAGTGTGAGTAATTGTATTTGAGTCAATGAGTTAATGCAATCAACTGGTTTTCCTTAGATAGAAAACTTTGTATCAATTTGACTGAATGATCTGGTTGAACTGTAAAGTGCCTTGAGATGACGTGTTGTAAATTTGGCGCTATATAAATAAACTGAATTGAATTGAACTTCTCCTAGCTGTGGCTTTACCCTAAAAAAGTACGGGAAAAGATGAATATCTCTGCAAGGCACTATCTAATTTAGGCACACATAATGCCACAAAGTCAGCTTAGAAAGTCTCCTAAATTGATAGGTTATGCATTCATTTAGTTTGTTCTCTGTCACCCACGTTCTCCTGCAGTAAAGTGCCGTCATTCGTCAGAATGTTGGCTCCGTCTTCAGCTCTGAACATCCATGAGAAAGCCTGGAACGCATACCCTTATTGTCGTACAGGTATGTATACAAATTATCACTGCAGATATTTACACATAACAATATGCACACTGCAGTAATCTAGCAAGTTATTTTTTAAGTAAGTATATTAATTAAGTCTAGACTTTCTTGGATATTTGAGTCTAATTTTTAAATGATGATCCACTTTTGGATCAGCCCTTGGAGATTTTAAATCAGTTTTGAGTGTGAGCTGCAGACATGACCCTGAGCAGAAGTTAAGCTGTTAACAGTTTATTTTATAAGGCATAGTAGTTAGAACATGTTTCAATGCACAGATTTGATGGCTTTGGTGCAGAGTCCTAGCCAGCCAAGGAAACAATTGGGGTTTCTTTGTTGAAATCTTTAAAAAGCATTTGTATAATAACTTTAAATTATTTTAGGTAAAAGATGCTTTCCTGCATTGCATTCCTCTCCTCCTCCAGTCTCTCCTTATGCCTTCGTGTCTCTGTTACTTTCAAGGAGTAGTTGAATAATTTACTACTTGTCCTGTGAGAGGAGCCGAGCAATCACTTGAGCCGTTCAGCCAAAGATCCTGCCACCCGTATGTGGCCAGCTGCTAGACCGCCATCTGTCACAAACACATTCAAAGGCACAAACTCACTTTGCATGCCCAATAACTGTTCCCTTACAATGTTGAAAAATCCACCAAATTCTGAAAGCCTTCTCAGTTGGTCTTTGTTGTCATTAACCATGTGTGTGTCTCTGTGTTTGGGACTTTGCCTTTCTTCACCTGGATCTACAGTCATCACTGTGAGTACTTTCTTTGTTTGCTTGTTTTAAAGAGTTCAGGAATCAACACAAACAGCACACTTATAATTGGTGCAAAAGGAGGAGGGGCTTAACCTGAAAGCTGAGACAGAAATGTGATCTTTTTGACTGACACTGCAGCAGAGATAGCAATAGATTGTGACTTTCTTTGTGTAGTTAAGTGTTGGTGAGGAAAAGACACTGATCAATGACAGCTGAATCTTTTATAGATTTCTTATTTGATTTTTACAAAGTGTTCTCTCCTTCCCTCACTCGGGGTTTTCTCTGTTTTCCCTGCAGAATGAGTATATGAAAGATAACTTCCTGATCAAGATCGAGACATGGCACAAACCTGACATGGGACACCAGGAAAATGTTAGTGAATAATACGACAAGCCGTGGGAGTCTATCTACTGTCGTAAATTTAAAAATGAAAGAGGATAATGCCTTGCAGAAATATCAACACTGCTTTGTTTTACATTTTGTAACAATACATCCATAGAAGCCTTCACTTTTTGACGGGATATTTGTGTGATAGAACAACACAAAGTTGAAGGAAAATGGTACATTTTTTATGAATAAAAAAAAATGAACAAAAGGAAATAAAATCTAATAATATTTATATATATATTTATATATAAATTGATAGTTCATCATTTAGTGAACTATCAATGAACTCCATAATCTTTTAAGGTATGCATGGCAATGGGAATTACTTTTGTTGTTGCAAATAATTGCAGATTCTTGTTCCTTTTAGATCTAACATGAATGTTTTCACTGCTATCTCACTCCTCCTCTCCCTCTGTTCACCATCCACTTCCAATAATAAGCACGTTAACACAAATAACTGTCCATTTAATGATACAGAGAAACATTGGTCAGCTCCAAAGTGATTTTGCTTTACCAGGACATACAGTACTGGTTGCTATACAACAGAATTGTTTTAGACTTGTTTAAGGCTTTCTCACTAAACTGTCTGCTGTATTATTTTGCACTTCAAAATTGCTTTCTTTATTAATGTCCTCTGAGAAACAACAACACTAACGCCTTCACAGAGCAGATGGATCCCATTTATCTATTAGATGACTGTTGAAAGCAACCTGTTGGACTAGATATCTAAGTAAGGGGAGCTGAATAAAAATCAGTGTCATTTTTTATTCTAATGTAAAAATAAAATAACAGTCAATAATCTTTCATTGCCACACCACATTTATGCTCCACTATGTGTTTTTCTATCAATTAAAACCCCAAGAAAATATATTTCCATTTATGTAATCATAATCAAAATTCTTTTATTTGATTTCTAACTTTCAGTTATGCGCATATGTCAGTTAAATAATAGCATATTTGAGCTAAATAACTAATGCAATATAAAATTATTACACATTTTTGTTTTACTTTGAAGACTTAAAAAAAATGTCTTAGCTTTTGCTCTGTGGTTGTGTTTTAGGTACACGGTTTGGATGCAGAAACCTGGAAAAAGGTGGATATAGTCTATATTGATATTGCAGACAGAAGCCAGGTGGAGCCAAAGGTGAATCAATGTGAAGCTGCTGTTTGAAATATCTTATTCTGCCTTTAACACTTTATTTATTTATTTTTGTATTTTTGTATTTATTTTTTTGGTTTCTCACATCAGGACTACAAGCCAGAAGAGGATCCATGCAAGTATAAGTCAGCAAAGACAGGACGAGGGCCTCTAGGACCTGACTGGAAGGTAAATATAACCACGATCTAAACCAAAAATGTATTTAAATATTTTTTTCAAGCAATAAATGAGAAAACATAATAGTTAGTAATGGGCATTGTTTTTTTCTTTGTTTTGTCATGTGTGTGTGTGTGTGTGTGTGTGTGTGTGGTTTTTGTTGCTCTCTGCTCTGGTTTTCTAAATGTTTTTTTTTTTTTACATTTTGATAAACCGCTGTGCCCTGTTTTCTTTTAAGTAAAACAATACTTCAGCATTTTTCTCCACTCTGCAACCATAAAGTCAACATAACTGAGAGTGATACATTTAGTTTTCCATTTCTCTGTGTTAGTGTTCATCAGTGTCCCTAAGTACTTTAATCTGAAATTAGAGTGACACATTTAAAGCTTCTTTAAATCACTTGTACAACCTCTTTAGTGTTAATTTGCCAAAAGTGATAATCTCTGTCTTACTGAAATGTGTTGTGTTGATGTCTAATGAGGGTTTCCTAAAATGACATTTTGTCCTAATCATGTTGAATCCAAAGCTATGTCTGAAAACACTAAGATCTGTAGTAGATTCAACCTGCAACGTTTACTATGTTTAAGTTAGTGAACATCACTGGATTCTAAACATGGGATGGCCTGGGAAATTACACTTTCCCAAGAAAATAATCACTCATGCTTGCTGTACTGACTTGGAATTAGAAAGCAGTAAAAATAAAATCTAAAAAATAAGTATTTTTTTCTTACAATAGGTGTATTTTGTTTTTCTTGAATTGAGGAGGCAAGACAATTTACACTTACAGTAAGAAAAAAAAATTGCATTGTCTTATTTGAAGTGTATGTTATCTAATTATCTTATTCTAAGAGTAGAAACACTCATTCCATTGGCAAATCATCTTATCTACTCACATTAAGGGTAAATACACTTAATTTAAGAAATCTTTACTTATTTCAAGATCATTTTTGCAGTGAGAAAGCTTAGGCTTCATTTTATTTCTGCTACAGATAGTTGGTATAAACCAGCAAATCTGATTCCATGAGTGTATCAGGATGGTCAGGATGGTTCCTCACAAAAACACTAATCTAAGTGTTTATGTCTGCATGCAGAAAGAGCTTCCTAACAAGAAAGACTGCCCACACATGTGTGCCTACAAACTGGTCACTGTCAAATTCAAGTGGTGGGGTCTGCAGAATAAAGTGGAGAACTTTATTCAGAAGGTTTGTTTATTACTTTTTTTTAAACTGCATTGTATACTTTTACAAGATAGTGGTCAAGGTAGTTAGAAAATAATGTTTTTGTTTATTATTATTTTACTTTATAAATTATTTTTACATAACTGCTTACATTTCTTATTAGTCCTGGGGGAAATAAACAACAATTATCCTTGGGCCACATTATGATATCTTTTCCATTGTTGTCTGACAGCAAGAGAAGCGCTTGTTCACAAATTTCCACCGCCAACTGTTTTGCTGGATTGACAAGTGGATTGAACTGAACATGGACGATATTCGTCGCATGGAGGAGGAGACTCGTAGGGAGCTAGATGAAGTAAGCTACATTTTTTATTTATTTATTATTATTTATTTGTTGTTGTTGTCTTGTATTTTTTGACATTTTGGGGAAAATAATTTCCAAGAACCCACAGTCTAAACCTAAACATGTCTGTTAAGGGCTGTTAAGTGCTCTACTGAAAGAACATTACAGATAAAGAATGTCTCATTTCCAATGATGATACGAAAAACAGTATTCTAAATAATTTATTCTTATTTACATCTTTCTCTTCACCTCTCACAGACTATAAATAAAAGGAAACACAATATTAAGAGGCTGAAGCTTTAACAGACATATGATCTAATTAGAGAATATTTCTTTTACTTCTCACTAGGACAGATTATAGCTTACTGAGCTTTTTTTTTGCTCATACCAAAATGCTAAAGTGTACAATATAAGAAGATTTTTCTACATTTAGTTCAAACAACTGCTTTGTCTGATCTGGGAAGAAAAATCCCTGATTTGCTCTTGAATAACATTTGATTATTTAATTGTTCATGTATTATTCCTATCTATACACAAACATTTCTATGATGGAGGATCGCTTTTCAGTTCTGTGTCATATAGAAGGAAGATTTTAAAGTCTTTTCAGCATCTTGGCAACTTTCCTTAGAGGCAGCTTTTCCAGATTTAAGGTTTTCAGTGACACTGATCGAGTTGCACTACAGAAACTTATTCTTAACAAAGTGCTATTTTACATTTAGCTGTAGGCTCAGTCATTTGTTGGCTCTTGCATTTATCTGCACATTCATTTTTTTTTTGGAGAAAATGTACAATTAGTAATAATTTATTCTGTAATATTTATTTACTTCTATATTACTCTGTTTGTTATAAAGTTATGAAAGTAAATTAAAAACATGATAAAGAACAACAATGTTTAAAAAAAATTCTCTTCACACCTTCAGGCGTTTGCTCCTTGCACTGAAGATGTTTAATGATCAACACTTACAATTCAAAGGTTCTTGTGATATGATCCCTAACCAGCTATGCCCCATTTATAAAGACTATTTATAATTAGCTTATTACATATTTACTACTGTCTATGTAGTTTATTTTTTGCATGCCTTATACCACAGTGTTTTTAGAGATTTTTATAATTTTATTTACCTATTCCATATTATATGTTTCATGTTGCACGATTGTACCATAAAAAATTCCTTCACTAACAATGGCAATAAACCCGATTCCGATTCTGATTATATATTTATATATATATATATGTGTGTGTGTGTGTGTGTGTGTGTGTGTGTGTGTATGTGGCCATGTCTTTAATACCTGGTGGGGACAATTTCCTAGGAATATGCTACATTTTGGGGACTCATAGGTACTTATGGGGACCAACAACTGGTCCCCATAAGGAAAGTTTCTCTTCTTGGGGTGGGGGTTAGGTTTAGGACTAAGGTGTGAATTGAGTTTAGGTTAGGTTTAAGAATAGGTATGTGTCGGTAATGGTTAGGGTTAGGGCAAGGGTCACGGTTAGGCCATATAAATTAGTGGGAAATGAATGGAAGTCAATGGAAGGTCCCCACAAGGATGTTGTGACACAACATGTGTGTGTGTGTGTGCTATATATGCTGCCAGTGCCAAACCAAATAAAATTTAGAAAGTTATACTAAAATGAATCATGCATAAGTTTGTTGAGTTATTTTTACCGTGTAGGTCTTTAATTTAAATCACAATAGTCTTCAAAACGGTTCTGATTGAATTCAGCTCTCTGAGAAACCCTGAGAGCAACAGAGCCATCCTATAATTTTTTTAAGTCTTTCATATTGTTGATAACTCATTGTATGTGAAGTTATGTGTGGTTTCTAGCTTCAGCTTCTGCCCAAACTTAAAAAATGATTATCCATCCCGAAGGAGAATGCTAGGCACAACTCAAATCCTTCTCCATTGTGTTTTATTTGCTGAAATTGGTGTTTATTTAGGATTGGGATTTAGGTTGAAAACATTTCAAGAATAAATTGACAAACATAAATGTAATTAGTTAAAAAAAAACATTTTTAAATCAAACATTTTCTCTGTGGCTCAACCATAAGCACATATAAACATATAAATAAGCACATTCAACTTCGCCTTTTTTTATTTTTATTTTTTTTACATTACACTTTCACAATAACAGAGCAACAAAATGAACTCTCCCGGGGAGCAGTGTGGGGCTAAGGGACCCAGGGTGTCAGCCTGTGGGAGTGGGGCTAAAACTCAGAGCCTCTGGATTCCAAGTGCAATGCCTTAACCACTACAACAATATCTCCAAAACCTCCAAATCAACTTTTACCTTTTAATAAACATATTTTAATAACTGTAACTTAAACTCCTTCTCACCAGTTGTGTATCTGGTGATTTGACCATGAGCTGAAACCTGTTTAGCTGAGAGCCTGTCTTTCCTTTGTCTGCAAAACTGCCACACAGGTGTGTGCAGGTGTTTCACACAGGAAGACCTTCACAGGAAGTTCACTCCTCTTTTCTCCTATCTTTCCTCTTTTTTGACATGACAGTGTAATAGTGCCTAATACTGTTCACTCAGTGTGTTTTCTGTGAATCTATAATGAGTGCGTGTATTCCTGTCAGATGAGAGTGAAGGATCCTGTGAAAGGAATGGTGGCGTTGGAGGACTAAGACTGTCTTGGACGTAAATGCTGCCGATCGTCAGGTAGACAAAGCTCCGACCTCTTCTTATTGTTAAGTTTTTTCTTTGGGTTTTTCTCTCACTTGTCTCTCCTTTCCCTTTTAGATTAGAGCTGAAACCAGCGCAATCAATCCTCCTTTTGTCTCAAATGATACAACGTCTGACTGGACAGTCCAAGTCTTACTCATCGGAGTTCATTTTGGTCTTCAGTGACCCGAATCCAGTACACTCTCAGTTTTGAGCTGATCTCCTCCACACTGTCCATCCTTCCTTTATCCCATTTGTCTCTCTTTTTTTAATTCATCTGTTGTACCCATTTAGATTAGTATTTAAATGCCACCTGTAGCACCATTACTTATAATGTCAATCATTCAATAAATGTATGTCTCAGATTTGTTCTAAATTACAGATAATAGTGAAAACACTGTTAATTTAGGCCATATTCTACCTAAGATTAAGATGTTGCATCTATAGAGTGTACTGTAGTCTGTACTTCTAATCAGTCAGAAAGGTTTTTTCCTGATCTAAATGCCCTCCTACATCAAGGCAGTTTGTTTTCTGCTGCTTGGTGAGTTTGTGTGTGTGTACGCTTCTGTTTTGTGGTTGTGTGTGTTTCTACAGAGCATAATTGGGCATCATTGATATTTCCAGCCATGTTTTTCTTCAAACATACATTCTAGCTCTGGTGAATATGCAGTAATTTGATCATCATGTCTGAATTTATTAATATTTAGACAGATTACCCTGAATTGTCTAAATGTTCAACACAGCTTAGCTGAATATTTACAGTAAATCTGAACAGCCATAAATAAGTTGAGGACTGTGTTATTTATTTTTTTTTTCTTGTGGCATCATTTTCCAGTGGATAAATGGTCTTATCCAGCAAAAGCAATAACTATCATGACATGTTAGGCTCCTTTTTAATGTCAAAAAGCTGTTTTAGTTCTCAGTGTGTTCCTGCTGTAAGGTCAGTGTTTTTAAAGCAGAGTGAATGTCAGGAGCCAATGAATTTGAAGGAAAGTCAGTTCAAAGCTGGTTTTCATGTGTCAGTTATTCAATAGTCTTTATGTTTTTCCTTTTAACACCCTCACCAATTTCTGTCTATATGATTAGAAGAGAATGATTGATGTTTAGTGGTGTGACGATTTATAGAGAACTGATTATCGACTCGGAAAGTTATTATATTGTTTTTGTTGTCTCCTTTTTGTCTGTTGTCAAAACTTAAATTTTTTTCCTTCTTATATTCTTTTAGTTATTCTTTTTGTTTTCGTTTATCTTATTATTTAATGTATTCAGACAAAACATATATAAGGAGATCATATAGAGAAGCTAGTAAGTTAGTTTGGTCCTTATTTTATATATTTGGCTGAACCTAAAAACAAACAGGTTGGTACAGCAGTTGTTTTACTCTACAATACTAAAACAAATTAAAAGATAAATTATCAAAAGGATTGTATAGATATTTGCAGCATATAAATTGAAATGCTCTGTCTAAGGGCTTCTCTTTGGCTTTTATTGGATATTAATATACCATAAAAAAACTAACTGTAGTTTGTTTAAAAAGAAAGCAGGATGGTGTATTTATAGTTTCAGTTTGCAATTTCACAAGGCTTTACTGATCTTCCTGTTATAGAATTTGTACACAATGACACTTGATAGGAATTAGGGTGAGTCATCTCCCATGTTGTCTTTTACTTAATTTAGACCTAAAATAGACATCATTTCCAGGAAGATTCCAGGCCAGAAATTATATAGATTTTATTTCAGTTTCTTTCATTTATAGAAATTCAGCCCTTTATTTTTCTGTTTTATTTGTCTGGTAGTAAAACATCAAACTGAACTGATATGTTGGTGAAATATACAAATAATATATTAAATAAAGAGAGCCCCTATTATTATCTAGGCTTTTAAGAATATTCTTTAAAATGTCATTAGTCTTATTTTTCTATGATGTATTACGTTCAAAAACGTATCAAAGACCTAAAATATCACAACCGATAAACACATGATTTGATTAATAGTTATATATAATTCAGAATTTATTTAAAATGCTAATAAAAACAAACAGTAAATTATAATATCAATTATTTTATGGATTTTTGAAAATGTTGGAAAAATAAATTTATATATAAAATATATTTAAATGGTGTCATTAGTAAAAACATGTAGTAATGTACTTAGAAGTCACACTATTCATCTACAGCCCTTACTTAGACAATGTTAGCCCCGCCCACTTGCTTTTATACATACAGGTGGAAAACTAATAAAACAAATTCATGATTGACCTGCAACAAAGGATTCAATACTGAAATATTTAAGCATCTACTTAACGTAATGAAAGCACATTTTAAGTAAGGATTTTTGACAGTGAAATATATTTTTGATTATTTTTATAAACTTAAATTATAGATACTATTATTTTCTGTGCTTAATGAAAACACTTTATTCAAATTAAATACCATGAATGAATGTTTTATTTGACTTTTTTTTTCTGTGTTGAATTGTGGAGCGTCTGGCCCTCCGTATCCTGCAGCTGCGTTGTCTTTTACCTTCTCATCAAAGAGACCAACGTCCGTGTCTATGTCCATTGATCATTCCACTCTGTCAGGGTCTATCAATTGAATCATGGAGATTTGTTGATGCACTGTGTGTACTGACTTTGTAAATAGTAAATAAATTAATGTAGATGAACACACATATATATAGATGAGACTGTCCTGCCCAGTGTGCAGCACATCCTGTCCGACCATGATCTCCCCTTTTGACCCATCGCTGAATATCCTCATAGAAATACTCCAGTGAGAAAAAGTAGAGCGGTAGCAGCTGAAATTTAGTGTGGGTAAGAAATTGTGAATAACAAAAAAATGTATTTATTTAAATAAGACCCATTTTTTACATATAAAAATTTAGAAACAGCTAGAAGCTGAGCTTTGCTATTTGTATTCACAAGAGAACATTTGAACTGAAACAAGCACCTTGTTCACTGACACATGTCCTTTTATTAATCCCTCAGAGGGGACAACATCTCACTGGCAGGACAGTGTATAAATATATATTTTTGTTCTTAATGTTGTAGTACCTCTGTTGTCAGTCTCTGGATTTCACTCTCTTCTCTCACTGAAAGGTTAAAATAGCTCGGGTCAGTGCACTGATTCCTCTCGCCGACTGATGGTGTCAAAGTGGATCCTCGGAGCATGTAGGATTGTTTTGTTGTCATGAGCCATGAAGGGTGATTTATCCTGCATGCCCTTCAAAATAAGTGCGGACGTAGCCCAATAGGGAAAATGGTTTTCAAACAGATACAGAGAGAAGAGGAATTTTAAAAGCTTGAAGACACAAAACTTATGAGAGAACATATTTTAACAGAGACAATCTAATATATCTCTTTTTAGATTCCTTGATTTATGATTGGAGTATAAGGAAAACCAAATGTTTCCATTATCCCAAACTGTTTATAAATCTCTCTGTCTCTTTTTCTCTCACTCCTGTTAACTTGTCTCCTTCTTCTTTTTTTCTTTTATTGTGAATTTGTGCCTTTTTGTCATCTAAATCTCTAATAACACTATTGTACATCAGAGACATAAAGAAATGAATAAAGAATCAAAGTGACTATATAAGCTGAGGGTGTTATATGGGTTATTATGTGCTTAAACGTCCTAAGGAAAGTAGCTTTGAGGTATAAGACTGAAAAAATCAAAAAAAAATTTAAAGAATCAGGTGGTACCCAGTCAAATCAATATCTATAGACCCCCTAAGTTAATGTTGCTTTCAAATAAGTTAAGAAATATTGCATTAACCATATGAAATAGGTTGCTATAACCAAGCAGCTGCACCAACCCTGCATAATATTCAGCATCTAATGTAGAACTTTAAAGAGCAGTGGAGTATTGATCATTTTTGTAAGGTGTAATTTTATATTTTTGAAATGATTAAATTCTTAATGTTTTCACAAGGGTGTTTTAATGTGGTGGTTAAATGCTCATACTGTCAAATAATATGCTGAAAGACGTTGTATGTAAAGAGAATTATCAAAAAAGTAAACAGATTAGGAATGCATTAATTTGACATGACCCCTGACTTAGCTACAATTCAATCAACTCTGACCAACTTCTTCGTCCTGACTGAAGGGAGGCACGACCGATACTATCAGATAAAACCATGTATTCAGGACAAAAGTGAGTGTTTTCTGCATTACATTGTGTTTTATATTGATCTCTCCAAGAAATTAAGCAATATTCTATTCTGTTAGTCTCACTTGACATGTAAACAAAATACATTAAAGTTTGTGGTTCAGATGTGAAACAAAGTTTAAGGGATGTGAACTCTTGTCCAAGTCAGACAAAAGTTGACATTGCAAGAATTGACCCAATTCTTCATCAAGAGTATAAAGTAACTCTCAGTGGAAAGATTAGCAGTTTTAAAATGAAATAAGCTTTTTGAAGACAAAGAGGATAATAATCTGATCAGGGCCTGCAAGTGAGATGCGACACGTTTTTATGAGAACATTTCTTTTTGTATGAGTTTGAGGAGGGGCAGTTGGACTTAAAGTTAAATCCGCTTTGGATATAAATTTGTTAGGAATCTAAGAATTAAGTAATTGGGATTTTGCTCTTCTAAGCTCTAAAGACTGAGTTTCTCATCAACTAACCTTTTCAAATGATTGCAATGTATGAATGCAAACGTATCTTACATAATCCTACTCTTAATAAAGTGTTAACTCTCTTATAAAATGCAGTGTGCTGAAAAGAAATACCATCAAAGAAACTACTTTGTGGACAACAGCTATAGAGATTTCCACCGTTTGTAGCTAGTGTGTTTTACATTATTAATAAAGAAAAATACAGAAATTATATTGAAAAAAAAAAGTAAAAAAGGTGAGCTCTATATGTCCATATAGATACATTTGTTATTTTTTATGACTACCATTAAATATTCAGATAACCACGCAGAAATATATTCTACCAGAGCACCTTAACCTTTCCATAATGGTCTAAAAACTAAGGATAATTTCTAGAAAAAAAATAAAACTTTCATAATCTCAACATACGTCATTGTGACTCCACATGAACACAAATGTCCATTCATAAATACTTTCTCACTGGGTTATTAACCAACCCTGGATATTAGCATAATCCGATGTTCTGCTGTAAGTCTGCTGTGGTTTGGGGCCACGGGGAAACCTGCAGCTGAAATCCTGTTTCCAGCACAAGACAGAAACTTAAATCTCTGTTTAGCAACACAACAGCTTTGCAGAAAAGAACAAACTTTATTTCTTGTCACATATTTGTACATCTTTGTAGACAGTGTTATCTGGACAACATCAGACTGACTCACTAAAAAAGGTAGGGTTTGAAGTTTTTTTTCCTTTACTTTTAAGTACCTTATTTGTTGTAAAGCACCACAGTTGATGGTCAAGACCCTGAACAATCAGATTTAGGCCACATGAATGGAGGAAAATGAATTCAAGTGAATGTAAAGTCCTTGTTAATCTAGAATAGCCTATTCTAGTGTGAGTGGTGAGGCTAGGCGTCATTGGATGTGCTTTAAGCCCGGTTGTGTCTCTGTCTAGTTGTGTCCTTTAAATGACATTTAGAAGGTAGAGCACAGTGCTGACACCGTGGCGTTCCCTGGGGCAGCCGCTTGATCTGCAATTCATTTATGTCTCAGATGCAGGTTTGGCTTTCAAAGCTAAGATACATTTCACAAAGAAATATCTCACTCTGCCAATCTACAGGCTTGTTAGATATGTCTAAATTTAAATTAATGTTATTATCATCATGTTTTTGGCTTGTTAAATTGAATTAGATCTTTTTATTACACTTTTCCTTTTGTTCTAGATTTGGTTTGTTCACATGTAGTTATGTACATATCAAATAAATGCATATTTTAGTACTTTAAGTTACTTTTTGTTAAAAGGTTAGACAAAGTTAATTCTTTACCTAAATGTGATCCTTATCTTCCTTTCATATGTCTTTTTCTTTAGCCTTGATTTGTCAAGAAAGAAATTCTATTTCCTTAAAACAATTATAGCCTCAAAAAGTTTATGTTAAAGCTCTTTTTAAACCTTTAAACCTGTGTAAACTTTAGGGCTGACGCCATAATTTATTTTAGTATTTATTTAATTCAGGGATTATTTTTCGATAACCAATTAAACAAAAATGAGATTTTGTTTTAGTAAAGCACCTTAGCAAGTAAAAAAAAAACAAAAAAACATTTATTGCAGTTTCCAAAATGCATTGCAAATGACAAACACCTAAAAACAAAGTTCAAGGCTTAGAAATGCCACCCAAGGAGTTCTCGGATGGAGCATATTTACTGACAAAGAAGGTTTTCATCCTAAATTTAAAATACTTTCTACAGTTTTGACTAAACTACTGATCAAAGTGAGTTTCCCTTGGTGCAAATGGCATATATTAGAATCAGTTTACTACAGTTAATAATCATTTGATTTTAAATTAGTTGAATTTCAGTAATTGATTCATTACTATTATTCATTCAGCCCTGTTTTACAGAAAATCAAATAAATATCTGCACCTAAAATTAAGGTAAAAAGCCTGTGCACCACCAATAAATCTTCTTTATTTGCGAACACACTGAGGGATAAAGAAGAGCAGATAAAGTGTTTCCAGTCAGAATAACCATCTGAAAAACAACAGTATAAAAGCAGCATGAGTGAATGCTAGCCAGGGATTGAGTATTCTGTTTAAATAGACAAAAAGGCCACAAAATGCATCTACTGCAGTTTATAAAATACCTGCCTTAAACAAACAAAAACACTCACTTTCAAAAATGTGTCTTTAAAAGTTGAGATCATATTTCTCTTATGCTGACCTCCACCAGAAATAACAGGGGAGACTTGACAGGTATAAACCGAATATTAAAGCTACTTAGGTTCCTGCAAAATAAAACAAAAGAAGTAAAAAAAAAAAAAAGAAAAGAAAAAAAAAAGGTCCAAACGACCTGAATAACGTGCGGGTTGTGATTCGATGATTTTTAATGCAATTTTAACAGCTTTAGCCTGAAAGTGTTGGTGCTGCCCTCATGTGGCCACATAAAATCCCTTCAGTCTTAGGAATAGGATAAAGTACAAAAGTAT